CAGGGTCCCCATTTTGGGCAGCCGCCTTGGCCATCTGCCACGCGTGCAGCAAGGGCAGGGTGCCACGCGTCAGAGGGCAGCACCGGAGCTGGAAATAGCTGCCTGCGCGCGTTCGCCTCCGCACCAAGCACCCAGCCTGGCTTCACGTCTCTGAATGCTTTCGATGAGCGTCTTTACTGGCCCAGCAACACTTCTCCATCTTCTCTGCATATGGGAAGCCAAGGAGTGCAAGAGGCTCCTTGGTGCCCTGGTTTGAAGATGGTGCCAGGGCAACCCTGAGGCAATCTGAGGATAAGGTCCAGGGGTTCCTGCGCTTCAGAGGGTGGCTGGGCCAGGGGAGATGCTGCTTGTTTGCTTTCTCTAATGCTCAGCTGTAGCCAAAGCACTGTTTTAATTTGGAATTTGGCAGGCATTTAGCCTTTTTGTAAACTAAAGCCATCCTGTGTTTCTGGAGGAGCAGGGAAGAGAGAAGTGAGGTAGATTATCGGCTGGAAATAAGCAGTGGGGGATTCAGAGGGAGTGTTTCTGCCGGGTGCCTGTGCTGCTGCTTTGACAAGCTCTTCCCCGTTCCCTGAGGGTGGGAGGTGTCGCTCCCCCAGCCCCCCGGGCTCCCAGTCGAAGGAGCAGCCAGTGCCTTGCTGCCACCAAACAGAGCGGTGTCACGGCGAGGCCACGGCAGCTGCTCGGCTGTGTCAAAACAAAATGATGTGTGTTGGAGTCACACTATTGCTGCGGAGAGACAAGGGCTGGAAATGAGCAAGGGGAGAAAAGCAAGGATGGGAGCAGAGATGGAGCTCTGCCTCTTTCTCTGACAGGGCTGGGGAGTGGTAGTTTCAGACCCTGTTATCCTGGGCTTAGCTGGATTTAGTGTTTCAGGCCCTCGTGGGTGCTGTTTGGCAGCCCAGCAGCTGTGCATCTCTGATGCTCCCCTTCCCAGGCAGGATAGCACTGGCCAAGATGGATGGTGTAGCAGCAGGAGAGAGAGGTGAGCACGTAGGAGGGCACTTGCTGTTTTGGGGGAAGTGACCAGCACATGGTTGTTTCCTCACTGTGGAAAGGACCGGAGTGCAGCCTGCTACCCCTCTTCTGTACCAGGAGGCACAGCTGCAGATATTACTGGGGAGTGAAAGACGGTAGGTAGCAGAGCCTGCAAGCCACCACCACCTGGTGCATCGCCTTCAGCCCTAGGGCCCACGGACCCCTGCGGGGAGCAGGAGCACGGGGATGGTGGGAGTGCATCCCAGGCACTCTCCAGGCCAGGCTTCCCGGTGCCAGAGAGGCTGTGGGCAGGCAACAGAAAGAGTTGGAAATTTCTGCAAGTTTGATACATCATTTGGGAAAGGCACCTCCTGCTGAGAGGCTCATTTTGTTCACCTAGAAAGAACCTGAGAAGTGCTGCAGCCACCATCTGCAAATGCCTGTGTGTAGAGACATGCGTGGTGATAGACAGAGCTCTGCCCTGGGATGGAGGAGCCCAGCAAGAGGGGAGCTTGGTGCCTGAACTTAAACCAGACAGTCTAGAAAGAAAGAGCGATTCTTTTCTTGATGGTGTTCGCTTGCCATGAAGGAATGTGTCTAAGTTCCAGCAGCTGGGTCTAGTTGTCTTCTCTAAAGCAATAGCTCTTGACTTGGTGCAAAGGTCTGCCTGGGGCGGTGGGCACTGCTGGTCAGCCCGTGCAGGCAGGCTGGCACCGAGTGTGTGCGGAGGTGGGCAGTACATGCCAGTCCATATGATGTGCTGATGTCAGCTTCGCAGAGGTGAGCTGCCTTGAGCAGGTCTGGAGAGCTTTCCTGCAAGAGGTACATGTATGTCTGTGGTGGGACACTGGAGAACCTCATCTGCTCTTGTGCCTCCCCAATCTGTCCGGGCAAGGCATATCACCCCCCTTCCACTAGCCCCCTCCCTGACCTAATCCCTCCCGCCCTTGCTGCTATTTTAAAACAGATGTACATTAAAGCTCCTTAATCTCTGGAAATACTAATTTTCTCCTGCTCTCCCTCCATCTGAGTTCGTATGAACGTGGTACTTAAGTCACTCCTCGTCTTTGATTAGGATCTCATCTTTCTTTTTCAGGTCCCATAAATTAGCCTTTTAGCTGGCAGTGCTCTCAGATCCAACAGATAACAGCCTTTTCTCGGCATCCGGCTGTTTCCAACAGCATCACTAACATCATCTTTTGGGCATGACCGGCTAGGTGCTCACAGCCGTCACTCAGCACACGCGCTTTAAAAGGGACCTTTCACTGGGGAGAAAGCATTTCTCATGTTTAAATACAGTTTCCCCTAACTTTCTCGCCTACCCTTCTCCAATATACTTTTTTCCCCTCTTAAAATGCAAAGTAAATTGCACCTGAAAGCTGCTCTTTAAGGAAGCAGCTCTCCACAGCACAGGACCATGCATGTTTGTCCCATTCCACGCAGCAGCTTGCAGGGCTTTTCCGGGTACCGCTTTCCAAGGGGGTCACTTCCCATGGCCTGCTCCACCTGTGACAGTATCGCTCAGACTCATCACAAAGGAGCCTAACTGGTGACAAATAGCAGGCTACTTTCTGTGACAGGAAACCATCTCCAGTAGGAACTGAACTGAGACCACCAGCTTCAGTTGTCACAGACAACCACACAGCCAGAGCTGATTTTGTTAATGACTCAAGAAACCCCAGTGGGGAAAAAGAAATGTTGAGTTATATTTTACCAAAGCCTATGTAGAACCCTGCATGACAACATACAATCTGATAACAATGATACGGTATGCAGGGAACAGAAGAATGAGGGCCTACCACAGGCCTGAGGAGGAAGGAGAATGGGTGAGGAGGAAGATATCATTTAAGCAGGACTCGGAGTCATATTAGCATGGGGAATTGAGAAAATTGCTAGAAGAGTAAATAGATTTTGGACTGAGATTTTTCTATAAATGTTCTCTCTTTTCAAGTTTTCCCAGCGCTCCTTCCTTTCAGGCTGAAAGAACTGGTGTTCTTTTGAAAGTGTTGATTAACCAATACTTTGTTTTTTCTGACTTTTCCCTCAAGGCTACCCTGGGAAATAAAAGAGCACCAAATTGCTAGCTTGTTCTCACATAAAATTTAGAGGAGCTGCAATATGGAAAGGCAAAGGACTTCCAACGACCTTTCCCTGCACATGGGTTCCTTGGGCAGACCGTGGTCCAGTTGTGACCTTTGCTCATGTTTGAGCAACCTACAGTTTCATAGGGTTGTGTGGGTGACACGGATGGCAAATTTCACTGTTTGTCTTCTGATGGAGGACTAGCAAAACAGACATCTCGGGGTGTGAACTGCTTTGTGAGGTATTTTTCCAAATGTTCAGCTCTAAATGTTTGCAAGAGGCCCTCAGGCAGTTCTTCCAGCCCTAAGATGTTGCCATCTGGGCCTGTCAGTTCTGGAAGTGTTGAGAAATCATATGAACTCGCTGCTAAAGTGAGCATCTACAGAAGCTGGTGTGCACCTATGTTTCTTCAGTGAGCAACCGGCAGCCTCGAGTCAGCTTAATTACCTGGCTCACTGGACGCAGAGCTCATTGTCAGGAGGGGCAAGTGTTGGGTTCTGTGTGTTCCTGTTGTCAGGTTCACTAGAAAATTCAAAGCAATCACTTCGTCTTTTGAGTGCGGAGAGCAAAAGACAATTCTGCTCAAAGGATGGGTATTTGGGAAGGTATCATTAATGCCGCCAGCAGAGAGGATCATTGCAGTCAGGTGTAAGGTGGCACTGGGACAGGGTGATGTTTGGCAGAGCCCCCTGCTCTGGAAGTGAAGCCTGAAATGTTTCTGGTGGGGATTGCCTGATACCATTGCCGGGGATAGCAAAAATACAGATTCAGTAGTTCAGGAGGCCATTTGAAGTCCTAAATCTCTGTGCAAATATGCACAAATATTCTTTTATGAGGTTTTGAATAATTTCTTTGCACATGGCTTTTTAGGCGCAAGTTACAATCTTTGGGTTTGGTTGTTTATAAGTAACCTCTTTAAACTCTTCTTGACATTTTTGCACACAATGCAAAGTAGCCTTGGTTTTCAACCACAACTATTTCAAGGATGTGACTTCTACCGTTTTCTAGTAGTCCCTGATTTTCGGCATTCCTGATCATTTTGAGGTGCCTTCCCAGTTGAGCACCCCAAGTTACAGTCAGCTTTGAAAAATCTAAGCAGATTGACATTTGGGAAAAAAAAAACCAAAACATTTTCTTTTGGAAAACTGAAAAAGGGCCATGGTAACTATACATAGAGATAATGCTAGGAAGACTACACAGGAAAATGCCTTCTCTCGGATTACAGCATGTGCATTTGGTTACTAGTGCTTGATCTGTGCTGAACAATAAAAAGAAATGTCACCACTAAAAGGAATTTGGATCAGAGAAATGTTAACATAAATGCCTAGTTATGGACACCCATTTGCGGCTCTCCCCATTTTCAACCAGCTTTTGCATTAAAACATATAATGATGATACATGACTTCCTCAAATTACGATGAATTTATCTGAAACCCAAAGAGAAACTGGGTCATTGAAGCTCGGTGTCCAGTAAGATGTATGGGAAAAAATGAAAAGTAGTGTGCTAAATGGATCTAGCATTAGAGGCGAGTAATGATAGGCACTAAGATCCTCTTCACAGTTGTAAGGATAATACCCATGGGCATGTTAATAGTGAATTATGGCCATTATACAGGCACCAATGACAATATTTTAGTGCTATTCAAGTTACCTGGTTTCTTTGCTTTTTGCTCACTCTCTTTTCTTCTTAAAAGCTGGTCATTTAGTGGTCTGAAATGTGATGTAGTGGGAGGATCCTGTTCTCTCAAATGTGCAAGAGTCGTGATTGACTTTGGCTAAAGGAAGAAGAGGAGGAGTTCTTCCTCCTTTCACGAGGAAGAGCCTTGCAGTAGTTTAACTATCGCTTTCCTCTGGCTGGTCTTGCAACCCAGTTACCAGTGGCAATAATGCCCCTGAAAGGCCTCTTTAAACAAACTGTGCTTCCCATTTTGTTGTTCTAGTGAACTTCCCAAGAATGGAGGATGACTTTCCAATCTCTGAGCAAGACTTTGAAGACAACAGTGATCCAGGTTGGTACCCAAATTTCACATGGGCAATTTATGTGGTGGATACCGTTTCAGTATTAGGTGCTACAATTACTCACAAACCTCAGCTTTAGTGGGGGTTAGGAGCCAGAACATGCTTGAGAACGTACACTGAAGTGGTGGCTTAGACTGGATAAAGACATTAGTTTTCCTTTCTTGTTTTCCTTTTTCATCAACCAGCAACCTTGCAAAGTCAATATACTGCGTTTGTGTTAGGACAAGTGGAACTGATCTTTCAAGCATTAATTGCTGCTTGCATGGCATTTTGACTTGTAAATGGAGAAAATTAAGTCTGGGAGCTGTGACAGATTGTTTCCATAGTTTTGAACCCAATGGCACTTGAAGGGCCAGAGTTTCAGTGGGTGTAAAACGCTAGCATGCTATTTCCATAGCCTGAGATGTAAAAGTGAATCAGGGCACCTAACTTTCTTGGTAGTTTGGTGCTTTGTGTTGTATCTAGACCTGAGTTAATGAATCCTGCCGAGATATACCCGGGGGGGG